CTTGAGGATCTTTTACTCATGCAAGTAAATTCTACGACATGGGACAGCGGCTATACTTCCCCCTCTGAAGAAGGCGTACGAATGATTTTTTCGCCTTAAAAATCACCGTTCGCTCGGTTGAACCCGCTAACTTGGGTACAAAGTCAGTATGCTACGCGTTACACCATCACTGCGCCAACGTGAATCAATAGAGTTAAGGATATCTCCTTCGCCTGGCCAACAAAACTTCCTATTGCCGTCGATGCAGAGTGAGGGGCGATGCGGTGGGCGGCTGCCGGACGTGTTGTGCGTGCTGTCGCTGCTGGTGCGCGACGGCGCGGGCAGGGCCTGTGGTGGGGCTGTGCCCAGCCCACGCGCCATCAACATCGCATCGCGCCTCACGCGCTTCGGCCGGCCGTCTTCCACATGCAGCGCCGCTGGTGCGGCGAAGCGGTGGATAGCGGCCATCGCAAGGATGTTCGACTCGTGGTGGTGGGCGCGGGCGCGGCGGGGCAGGGCGCTGGCACCGCCTGCGCCGAGGGGGGGTGGGCGACTGGGAGCGTGCTGCTGCTGGAGCCTGGCGGGAGGAGTGCCCGTCATGACCAATCCGTTCCTGCTGGGCCAGTTCTACCGCAACCGACGCCACTGGCAGTTCCTCACCTACGCCCAGAAAACGTCTGCGCGGGCTCGAGACTCGCGCTGCGACTAACCCGCAGGTGGGGGATGTATTCTTAAAAGTGGAGCATGTGTTATTCAAATGGTTTAACAACTGGTCAGTGCCTCACCACGCGAAGCAAGGATGTTGTACGTAGAAGCGCGAGGACTCGCGCAGGTGAGACGCTGCTCGATTGCTTAATTTCGTCACTGCTAGGAATTATTCATGTAATCGTAAGAATTGATGGTTCTTTTTTCGGGATCTGTACTGATTTTCCTCTGACAGGTGCGCTGAATCGACCACATGTCATTAGCGGGGTTTTCCGCAACCCGGACAAACGCCAGAAGACTTCAGGCAACGCCTATAACCTGGAAACTTCTAAGTTTCGAAGTAATGTATGTCAACCAAGCGCGCTGCGTAAGGGAACGCGCGCGGTTTAGGGCCGGTTTCTAGCTCAGTCGGTCTACTCCCTACTCATATGATTCAGTGATGGAAGGCATTGTAAGCGAAAGCATGCTGGGAAATTCAAAACAAATCATTTGGTTAACTGGTAAAAGACAATGTTTATTCTGGACAGGGCTGTACCAGGGAAGTTTACATTCGGATGAAAAGAAAATGGTGAATAAAATAAAAAAAGATTAGGAAATTAAGAAGAACTTACAACTAAAGAAGAGTGGTAGCAAAAATTATTCTATGCTAACAATACAAATTTGTCCTGAGGACTTTCTGTGCCGTCAGGCGGCGCTTTCAAAATAGTCTCTAAGGGCTTATTGACCCTGATTACGTTGCTTGGAAACCTCCGTGAAAACTGGTGCTCAAGTAGGCCTTGCGAGCGGGCGAGGAGCTGGTGGGGGTGGGATGTCCTTTCCAGACGCGGCCGGGGCACGCACGCCTTCAACAAAGGTTGCGGCGGTTGCGGCGGTCCGTGCATCAGCGAAGGGCGTCTGGAGGCTGCTTTGACCCTCGGATACAAGTGCGGAGCACCCAGAGATTGTCTCTCGAAGAGTACTGCGGTTCCTCTGAAAAATTTCAGCGAATGCGAATTTTGTAGCTGATAAGCAGTTGGCAAAGATTCCGCCGCTATTCCCCGTAAGTGCCTTGCACTCTCTCTAATTAACTTCAAGTTGAATGCAGTCCTAGAGTGCACCACTCTCTCTCGTCGACGGACTCCACCCAGAGAGTCTCTTCTCCTACTATTTTCCCTACACGCAAGAGGATACTCTTCTCCCACCCTTTCTCCTCATGTGTTCATGCTCTTTAAAAAGATCGTTCCGGCTATTGCTAAAGGTGATGGGCGTTGTACATTAAATTTGGCATAGGGCTCCGGCGAAGTATAGAATTTTTCCGTTGCAACTGTTTCGAAAGTGGGTCAGTCTCTGAGGGTGCTTCCCAGCTACTGGAATTCTTCTTGGGATTCCCCATTACATGACAGGCGTTCGGAAGCATTCCAGGTGGGGTCCGCTGGCGCTTTAGTTTTACCCGACCTTTGTCGGTTGTTGGGTGGGGTGATAACCTTCGAAATGGGTCAGGGCGGACCGTGGCCGTTGCAAGAAAGGGCCCTGCGGCGTGACGCCGTATGTTTTTTCTTCAGTACAAATTCCTTGGTTGCTTTACTCACATAGAAATTTATATGAATAATTCTGTCCGCTACAGTACTATGTGAATGATAGTGTAGCGCGTGTGTGGAAGTCTAAGTAAGGGGGGCAATAGAAAATAGTAAAGAAGAATATTATCGCGCGGCCCGTTGGCCGTTTGTTAGGACTCTATCCGGCATTCGATTGGGTGTTAGAAGGACGTTCACAAAAAACTGTGCTCAGACGAGCCGGCGGTGGCAGTTCTCCTCAAACAGCAGCTTAAATTCGATCCTAGCTCTAGCTAGTGTCAACAATCCTGCTAGTTGTTCGGATCTTTTCTGTTTTGAGGCATTGGAGTGACACAACTTGGTGCACATGATTTCAGTAAACGGTGAGAGAGGGAGGAGTGGTGTGAACTATATTTATTTTTCGTAGCTGATTATTCCTTGGCCGGGTGTATAAGTACACAACATCTATTAAGCAGCATCGTGCGCGTCCTAATCGCATTTCTGTTTCCTAAAAGCTGCTTGCCAACCTTCGCACGCTTATCCAGCTCTTTTGTTTAGCTGTTCTCCCACGCTAACGGCTCTGACACGCATCTTCATCTATTCCTCCCAGTCTCTGTGTCCACTACTATTTCTCTACGCATCTCCTTTCCTTCTCTTGTACTCCGGTTTAACTCCTTCCTCTCGCCTGATCTTCCGTCCCACTAGCTCGCTCAGTCTTCTCCCACTTTCCGCTTATTCGATCCCACTTTAGCCGACCGCAACAACGTCTCTCAGGCAGTACCTCAGGAGGTTCATTGGGATTGCATTTAACTAAATAACATGTGTTAAAAACAATATTTGGGTTATTGATAACAAATACATTTCAGTAATTAAAATGAGCACTACATAGCGGTAAGATTTTGAAGAATTTCTTAGCTCATTCTAACCACTCCAATTCTATTCACGTCAAACCGTGTTTTTTTGTAGTTATTTTTTTGGTAATCTTTACACAGAGTATTTCAAAATTTAAAAAAATGTTAAAAAAATAAAATAATTCATATCAAAAAAATGTTTTTCTAATTTTTTCTCGGCTCCAAAATTCTACGCAAAAAATGATTTTTTTAAAACACTAACTACTTTACTTGACTTAGTGTGCAGGAACATCGCCACAGAAATATCTCAAAAATTTTCTTTTTGAAACACCAATTGTCTTGAGTTTTTCTGATTTTTTGATTAATACCGCGGCTAAAAAAAAAACTTTTCCGCCTGAAAGCCATGATATCACTTTCAAATTATTCCAAATGACTGCAAACAAATCTGTATATATGTTTTAGTTTTGTATATATGTGCAATTGTTATAGCACCAGTATTTTATTTTTAAGGTACTTTATATTTCTTTGTATACGTCTACATTTAGTTGTATCCTGCTGACATAATAGGTAAACGAATTGTAATAGATTTTTGGCAGTTTATTAAGAAACCACCGTCACAAAACCGTGCAAAACCCTACTAGTAGGTCGAGAATTACATCCGGACGACCGCGGACACATTCAAACATGTTCCCCCGGAAAAAGAAAAAATTTGGGAGGGTTTTAACAGATTATACGTACGTTACAAGACAGAATTTGGTTGCACCTCAAATAATCTCATATTAATTCAAGTAAGCTACGCGTCCTAAACCTTTTAAAACCCCAAAACTAGGTTTGCGCGTCTGGTTGGAACCTTTTTATAGAGACAAGCGGCAGATCTGATAGATACGCGTTTTTGGGGATGCAGGTATGGGTAAGGTGTGACAAAGTGAATGCGACGATTTCAGAGAAGTACCAAAAAACACTATTCATTACCACATAATTGCTCCAAATTTTGTAGTCCAAAATTTGCATTTAAATTTATATTTTTAATTCTTCCTATATATTCTCTAAACGAATTTTTTACATTATTTGTTGGTTAGGACCGAAACATTCGAGACAAATGGTGGAAAATACATTTTTCTAAGACTTTTTATTTTAGTAAATATTACAGTTATATTAAATTTGTTGTGGATAAGAACAAGTGATCCGATTTTATTAAATAAGAGTGTAATAATCATTTATAGTCAATATCTTTTAGTTGCAGGCATAAGGGAGGAAATGTAACCAGACACGGAAGTCTGCCGTGGTAGCAGTGTAAATAAACAAGCTCGGGAAATATGAATGATCGGCAATAGGGAGGAAGGAGTCACGGGAGGAGTCAAAGCGCCTATAATGAAATAATACACGTGTACGAAGCGTGACTAAGATTTTGTAGTAACGGAATCGGTCTCTTTCGGACGGGACACCGTACGTACACATAGGAATGGTCGTTGCCGGTATTCACTACATTGGAAGCATGGGTGGACAAGGCTTATCAGTGAACACACAACGCAGACAGTAGGAGGGGAATGGGATAGCAAAATGTTAAGTAATCAAATTACTAATCAGAAAGATTTGAGAATAATACATAAATATTAATAGTCACTAATTTACCGAGATTGACACACAAAGAACATGTTTAGTGGAAAATGATGATTTTTATACTTAGAAATAAGTTCTTGACTTTCATCATTTAACAAAACATCTTATGTGCAAAATAGTAAGTGTGACGGCTCATTGGTGTAAGCTAGTAAGTAAGTTTTAGCTCATTGGTCACGGTGCTTTTTTTTCCACTCGCGACGCGAAAGAACTTTCAAAGATTATAAGTTTTACATGTGCACAAGATTTACGTATAACATTTTATGTATTCTTTTAAGGGACAGCATGTCGGTGGCAGCACTACTCGATTAACTACATGTCAACATTCGAGCAACAGACGAGACTTCGACAATTGGAAAGCCGATGGGCAACACAGGGTTGGGTTACAAAGATGTCGTTCCTTACTTCAGAAGGTCGAGACTTGCGGATACGGGGCTTCAGAACAGAAGAAAACAGAGGATACGGGGACGAATTAGGAACTACTTATCACATATTTTCAGGTAAAGATAGTGGATTCATGAACTGAATTACCTCTGAAAATGTTTTAATTAACAAAAATAAATAACGTGGCTTGTGCCTGAAAAATAAGGAATTTATGAAGGAATTTGCCCTCTGATTAGGAGGTTAGATGTATTATTTTTCAAGTTATTATCTATGTCTGCGTAACCTGGATAGATTTTCGTAGTAAAACTATATTGAAATATAAATAACCATTTTTTTTCTGATTTTGTAACGGTGAAATAAAATAATTTAATTGCAAATAATAACCCTCGCGCCCCGATGAACCTCTATCAAGGCCAACATTCTTCCTATTCTTTTTCAGCTGCACATAGCAACGTTATTCTTTTTGATTAATTAAAATTTTAGAGGTACTTCAGTATGATATATATTCTTAATGATATGGTGGATAAGTGTCTCATTCGTCCCGTATCTCTGTTTTTTCTGTTCTGAGCCCGGTATACGCAGTCTTCGCCTTCTTGAAGTAGGAACGAATCTTTTGTAATCCAACCTGTTGGCTGATTAATCTGTGAGTCTAGTCTGTTTGGATCGAATGTTGAAACATGTAGTTACTGTACGTGTGCAACCGACTATGCGTCCTAAAAGAATACTAATATGTTCTAGTACATCTTTGGTGTAACATGTAATTATAATCTGTTGAAAGTCTTTTCGCCGTCGCGTTGGTGGAAAAAGCAAGTGACCATGGCTAACTACCTTTACTAGCTTACGAAATAGAGAGTCACCTTACATCAATTGCAAATAATGTTTTTGTTATGAGAAGTCAGATATATTTTATGTATAAAATATCATTTCCATTAAACTGTTCGTTTGTGTTCAGTCGTAAATTATGTGATATTAATATTAATTATGTAATTATTATCAATATACTGATTTAGTATTGATTATTAAATTGTGCTATCATTTCTCCTAGTTGCGATTTTTTTTTTTTGGGGGGTGTGTTACTGCTCTTTTAGCTTGTACACTGCTTCAATGTAGTGAATCCGCAGCCCACAGTTCTATGTGTGGTACGGTGGTCGGGTGAAGAGACGTTCCGTTATACAAATTTATCAGCCCTTCGTACCGTGTATTTTTTTATTATAGGGCTTTGATTCTCGTGATTCCCTCTTTGCGATCATTCTATTTCGAGCTGTTTATTTAAACTTGCTAAGGCACCTGTCCGTTCTGGTTAATTTCTCTTATGCATGAAAAAAGATATTTGACATATGAATATTATTACACTCTTATATTAATAAAAATCGGGGATAAGTTGTCTTATTAACATTTAATATAGTGGTAATATTTAATTAAATGTCTTGAACATGATAATTTTTCATTTTATATGCATGTTTGGTCCAAAAAATATGTAAAATTCTTTTAGAGGAATCTTTAAGACAGAAGAATAAAGTATTATTTAAATGCAATTTTGACTACAAAATTTTGGCAATATTGGTAATGATAGTTTTTGTACTTTTGATATCGTCTCATCATTTGTTCCACACTTATACTGAATTCAAGCGTGATCTATAGATATCCGGCTGTCTATAAAAAGGTCAAGGAGCGCACTAGTTTGTGGGTAAAGGTTTAGGACGCGTAGCTTCTGAATTATTGAGATTATGTGGGTGCTCAATCGTTTGTAGTAGTATCTGTAATACTCAATTTTCTTCGCATGTTTTGAATGTGGTCAGTCTGGATGTATGTCTGTACTATAGTAGGGTTTTTGAGGGTTTTGTGCGGTGGTTTTTATAACTGAAAATCTATTACATTCGTTAGTATTTGTCAAGGGATACAAACTAAATGTACTTAAGAATTAAGTAATAAAAATAAATATGGTGCTATAAAAATTGCACATTATTAAAAAAACTAAAGATAATATACAGATTTGTTGCAGTATTTGGGAATTTTGAAGTTTGATTAGTGTTTCCAGGCGGAAAGTTTTTTTTAGCCCATTTAAAAATAAAAAATCAAGACTTGGTTGTTTTCAAATAAAATTAACAAATTTGATTTTATAAATTTTGTCTTTGGGAACATTATTATGGAGTACAGAGAGGTCTTGCTTTTAAAATTTGTATACACGTAATATCAAACACGCAGGAAAAATGCTCGTTCGCTCATTAAAAAAATTTTAGATATTAAACTATATTAAAATTGAAATAGAAAAATTATCGAGTATAATTTAATTCTCTCGATCAGACAAGATGTTACGGGGAAAGCTAAGTAGAAGAGTATAGTTGTTATGTGAGATTTTTAGAAAATGAATTAATTTATATTTTTTGAGGATATTGAATTTAATTGAGTAGCGATGAAATCTAAAATATTATTTTATATAAATGTAGCTCGTAACTGTAGGACTATGGAATTTATTTTTTTGATTTTCTGTTTAGGGTTATTTTATCGATGATTTTATGAAAAAACATGAATTTTTAAAATGATGTGGTAACGCTCTACATGTCACAAAACAGTTAAAGTCATGATATTCAAGCATTCTGATGATATTGTTTTGTTGAGTGTGAATTTAGTGAGTTTAGAGTTGTAGAATATGATGTAGTATATAAATTAGTATATACTCTTTTATAAATACTAAAATAATTTAGTTGCGTTGCATTGTTTTTAGATGTTATTTTTTTATTTAATATGAAATGTCAGTTTTTTGCGCTTCTTCGTATATAAATTTACTTTCAGTGGGTCAACGATATGTGTGGGTGGGCATTCATAACGAGCATTTGTTATTATTGATCTTTTAGAATAGACAATAATACTTTCTATGAACTCCTGAGGACTGCTTCTGGAGAGACGTGTGTTGCGGGTTGGGTAAAGTGGGATCGATAGATGGGAAGAGTGGAGAAGATGGCGAGTAGTGGGGAAGGATAGGCGGGAGAGGCGGCGTTGGGAGGTACAGAGCAGGGGAAGGAGATGCGTAGGAAATAGTTGGACAGAAGAGACCTGGGAGGAATGAGATGAGATGCGGGGGCGTGTAGGTGGGAGGAAGAAAGAAAAAGGGCTGGATAAGAGTGGCGGAAGGTTTGGCAACGAGTTTTAGGCGATAATGGTTAGGAGGAGATGCTGCTTATGATGGTTGTGGTAGTATCCGGGCAGGACGATAATCAGCTAGAAAATAATTGTTAAGATTATCTGGTACGGTTACGTGTAGTGAAAGTTGTGTCTGCTGTAAAGGCGAGAGTGGAAATAGGGATTGTTGACCTAGTGGGTAGATGTTTGTGCTGTTTTGGGAGTAGCGGCTCGTCTGATGCCAGTTTTTTGTGAACGTCCGTTCTAAATCGAATGCGGAGTAGAGTCTAAAACGGGCACGGGCAGGGGATAATATTTTCTTTACTATTGTTTATTGCCTTATTAGACTTCCACACGCGTACTATATTAATAGTCTGTAGCGGTACAGTTTTGATAATTTATTGAGTAGAGCTAAGGAATTTGTCTGAGGAAAAAAATCGGGTCAGCGCGCTTTTTGGCAGGGGTTACTGAATTTCGGAGGTTTATGGAGGCACAACCGAAAGGGGGTAAACTAAAAGCGCAGGGAGCACACTTTGCTGGATGCTTCGAAACGATGTTTGTATGGGGAATCGAGATTTTCGTTGTGGGCGGACTGCGGACATGATTTCGAACAGTGAAGGAAAATTTCTATTGGGACTTTGGCAAATTTAATGTACAAGCATCATTTGCCAATAGGGGCGATTTTTTAGAGAGCATGAACACTGAGGAGAGGGGTGGGGAAGAAGAGTTATTGTGCGTGTCGGGATTAGTTAATGTAGGAGAGGAGTTTTCTATTTCTGGGTGGGAGCGGTGGGAGAGAGAGGTGGGTGACTGTTCTAGGTGGCATTATTGAGATTTATTAGAGAGGAAGTGAAAGGATTAGGGGGATAGGGATTTTTGGCATGTTATAGTAATTTGTGGATATTTCGTGATTTGTTTGAGAGGCGCCGATCTTGAGAGAATTGGGTGTGATTGTATGAGGGTCCAGCAGCTCAGATAGGCCTTGTGATGTAGAAGCGGACCTGGTTTTGTGAGGGTTGAGGGTATGGAAGACATGGCGGTGCTGGCTGTCTGCAAGGGCCTATGGCAATTTGTGTAGAGGTTTCCCAGGCAGTATCCAGGTATAAGCTTTGACAGCTATTTTTAAGGGTGCGGCTGAGGCAAGGAAAGGTTAGGAAAATTTGTTATTGGTAGTTTGAATATTTTTTTGTCAATCTTTTTAGTGTAGTTCTTTTAATTTTAATTTTATGTTTATTTTATTCTTTTCTTTTTTATGTGTATTCCTGGTGAGCTGTCAGGATAACTTGTTTTTAATTTATAACCAGTAAAACATTAGTTTTGTTTTGCGAATTCCCATGTGTTTCGCTTTACCAATGCTTCCATCAGTGATCATATTGAGTAAGGGAGTGGAGTGAGTAGACGGGGTAACAGGCGGTTTCCTACGCCAGGGGTTGGTTGTTACGTAAGTTGTTTTGGACTTTGATGAGTGTCAGGTTAGGGCGTTGGCTGAAAGTCTTCTGGGTTTGTGAGGGTTTGGGGAAACGTAACTGACATGTTGGTGAGATGGCATGGTTCAAGAGGGGGAAATCGTGGTCCGAAAAAAAAAACATGTTATTCTTTAGGATTATGTATCTAGCGTTGACCGAAATTCAGCAATGAGGAGTGTCTCCCTGCGGGAGTTTCGAGTCTACGTATGTTCTGTTGGTGGTGGGCCCCTGAAGTTGTTACGATTTGGAATAAAATGTCATTTTAAGGTATGCCACTGGGGTAGTCGCCAAGTCGCAGCGGGCGATCTCGAGCCTCCGCGCAGGGACGTGTTCTGGGCGTTGGTTGAGGAATGGCAGTTTGGCGTCGGTGGCGCGTAGAAACTGACACCAGCGGAACGGGATGTCATGAGGGCCACTCCCTCCCAGAGCCTGCAGAAGCAGCTCAGTCGCCACATGGGGAGGCGGTGGCAGCGGGCTGGCCCCGAGCGGCCCGCGCTCAACACGAAGGTAGAACTCCTTGGATGGCCGTATCTGCCCACGGTGCTGCGCACGAGGCGGCGCTGGCTGTGGAAGAGGCGCGGCACGAGAGTGGTGGCGAGTGAACGATGTTGAGGCGTGAGCTGGGGCAGACCACAACGGATGCGCCGCGCCCGGTGCGCACAGAGCGACCAGACGCACCAAACGGTCGGGCCAGATCGCGCCTCAGTCTGCATGCGAACGGGAAATAGGATTTTTGGGCCAGGTACGGAGATTATCTTAAACCCACTTCTATTGATACCCGTTGAGCGGGCGGATGTGTACGGTTGATATGGCTGGTTGTATGCCAAGTTAGCCGGGTTCAAAACAAACCGATCGAAGGTTGTGGAGTTTTTACGGGCGAAAAATCATTCGTAGCCTTTCTTAGAGGGGAAGTATAGGGGCTGTCCATGTTCGTAGATTGTTTACTTGCATGTAAAAGAATCTCAAGTGCCTAAGAAGGTCTCTGAGCTAAATTGAAATCGGCTGTTTCCGCTGACAATACTTCGATTGGTCTCTAGTTGGTGAAAGGAAGCGTAGGCGGAATTTGCGTGGTCAGAGGAAGAGCGGGCCTGATGGCGATCCCACGTAAAATAAGGCAATTCAATTTCAATCACGTGACTATACGCCATCATAAGGGTCGTAATGAGAACAACGTTAATAAAGAGTTTTAGGCGATTGCGACATTGTGTTATACATTATAACAAAGGAAGATTTAAGCGTTGAACAGAGGAATTATGTTTATTTATATATATATATATATATATATATATTTATATATATATATTATTATATTATATATAAAGGTGTAGGCCCTGTGGGGTGAGACCGGACATTTAAAAAAATATCGTTACGGTGAGTCACAGAACGAGG